GTTGCCGAGGTCACTCTGTCCATGCATGGGGACTCTCTGCCTCAAGGCATGTTTATGTTTGTCTGGTGCCGGCATCTGTAGATTGGATTCTCTGTAATCAAGGCAGAGCTGAACAAACCTCCAGGATCCTAAACAAGACTCGGCAAACGTGCTATCACCGAGTGTGGCGGGGTTAACCATGCAGAGGCAAAGGGCTGCTTTTTGCCAGTCTGCGTTTGCCTCTCCAGGGGCCTTGTAGGTTTTGGACACCCACCCACTGCCATCAAGTCTGCTCTTCTAAAGACTGGCAGTCTCATCTTTCTCCCTCAGAGCAACTGGTGGGTTTGAACCGCCGTCCTTGAGGTTAGCAGGTAGATGCAAACATATCTGTTACACTCCCAGCTTAAAGTCCAGAGCGCTCAGAGTGGAATATGCCGTCTGCTACAGTGTTTGGAGTCCCAGGGAGGAGTGGCTGTTCAGGGAAAGAGACCACTGACTGGAATGTTGACAAAGTCCCTCCCTAACCTGTAGACTTAGAAGGATAGGGAAGGCCAGCAGTGCGGGTCACCTTAACTGTGCTGCTGGCTTGGGGCTCGTCTTGTGGTGACTTAAGTATGACCCGGTCCACTGCCAGATAGCTGGGCAGGGCCAACCCAGGGTGAGGGAGGAAGCACAGGCAGGACACGTGTCCTCCCCACTCAGACGGCATTCCTTGGCCCTCTGCCTGACTGCCTGGTGTTGCCCTGGGTGGCTGTTTGGGTTCCTGTGTGTCTCTTCCTTGGTCTCCCCAGAGCCCTACCAGGCTTGCTGCTGGGCTCCCAGAAATGAACAAGGTAGTAATCTGGTCCTCAAAGAAGCCACATTCATTTTGAACATTTGTAGCCACAAATGTTACTCACTCTGGCCAGGCCCCAGGGAGGGAACTCAGGACTCAGGGGTGGCTCTGACATCAGAGTAACCCCAGGTTGAGCTGAGCAGTAGAGGGAGAAAAGAAACACTTGCATGGTGCATGCTCTGCCATAGAAGTGACACTAAGAGTGGAGGGGTCCCTGAGGGGCACCCGGGCAGGCCAGAGAGGCAAGACAGAGAGATAGCATGAGATCATCGTACTGTGCAGGCCGAGCTAGGCAGGGGGAATCCCTCCTTCTTGGCACCCAGAGGTGGCTTTCTCACCTGCCCCTCCTTGCTCCTCCCCCTGGGGCCCTGCTCCTGCAGCCCCTATGCCTCTCCCTTGCTTACTGTCCCAACTCCATCCCTGTCAACACCCATATCTCAGCATAACCTCCCCCAGTACCTGTCCCAGTCCAACATAGGGAGCAAGCAGGTGAGCACTGGCCAGCATCAGGTCTCCACTATTATTCCGGGACCCCTTCTCAACTGGGAGACCCAGGGGAGGGGGCAGGTGAGTCTGCTCTCACTCATGTCCAGGGAGGATCTCACTGGTCATCCTGAGCCTTGAGCCCAGGAACCTGTGGGCAGTTGAGTGTAGAGGCAGACTCCCTGGAGAAGCAAGTAGCCTCTGACTTCTCTGTCACCACCATGTCATCCCCTGTGTCCTTACCCCCAAAACAGCTTTTTGGTTTCTTGGTTTCAAAAAGCTGCCCCCTGACAGGGCTTTCCTGCTGGGAAACTTGTTCTGTTTTCCTCTAAAGATGAAAAAAGCTGCCCACTTGGCTCCCTGAGCTGACCGTCACCATGGTAACCACTCCTTCTCAGGAGCCTCCTGATGGAAACAGGGGTTCCAGCCCTGGTGCTGGTGCCCACCTGGCCCCTCAGCCAGTCTAAGGGCTGTGAAAGGCTTTGGGGAGAGCCCTTGGTAGGGAAGTAAATGCCTGGGGATCCCCTCTGGCTTCAACCCCTTTGCCAGGGAAGTGATGGAGAAGGTTGTGGTCCCCGCGGCCGAGACAAGGGGGCTGGGTGGTCTACAGCTGTCCAGTGCAAACATCTGCTCTCTCCTCTTTGTGGGAGACTGACAATAAGGAAGGAATGAGATGATGTAGCCCTGAAGGGAGAGGGCAAGGCGGGATGCTCCCACCAGACCTATAAAGGGGGAAACCTGGGGCAGGATGTGAGTTGGGGTGCTCCTAACTCAAGTCCCTGGCTCCTAGCCCCATGATGAGGATGCAGAGAGCACCCCTCCTACAAGTTTAGCTGCCGCTAGCATCTATGATACTACCATCTCTGACCAGCAGCAGCTGCCTCTTCAGAAGGCCTGGGTGCAGGTCACCCCCCGCCTCCCAGCATTTCTAGGGTGCAAGGCCCAGCCAGGACCATGGGAGTGAGGAGTAACTGCCCTCCGGCGGCTCAGAAGAGGCCTTAGGTGGGCAGGAAGGCACTGTGGGACCAGAGGAAAGAGAGACAGGCATGCCATGGGGCAGTGAGGGAGTGTAGTGTGGATGAAAAGATTCTCTCCAGGCAGAGAGCACCTCTGTTCCTCTGACAGACCTGAGGCATCTCTGTCCAGCATAAATTCCACTGTAGCCTAAAGCACCTCACAGCATGGACATGGTCCTACTGTTAGCAGCCAATTCCGAGTATCTGATCAAAGGTGGCAGCCCACCCCACCCCCTGGATGGCTCTGATAGCAGGAACACAGAACCCCAACTGTCCTCTGCTCCCCTCCCAGGAAATTCAGGGGCATGTTGGGATCATCAGCCCAAGGAGGGGCTCCAGGTCCTCAGCAAATGCAGCTCAGACCTGCCCAAGGTCTAGGTCACTTCTCTGAGCAAGGCAGTCAGGCTAGTGGTCTCCTGCCTCTGATCTTGACTCTTTCTTCCCTGTGGCCCTATTTCTTCTCTGTGGCCCATGATCATGATCCAACTTGTCTGTGTTCTTGAGGGTAGTCCCAGGGCTGGTCTGCCTTCTGAGTTCTGCTCAGCTGTCAAGAATGTGGGCACTCTGGCTACCAGGCACCATCCTTGTATTGGCCAAAGATGGTTGTAAGGAGGAGGAAGGAGAGGATGGTGGAACTGGGTCAATGCCTTGGGTACCATCTGCAGCACCACTAATAGCACCTCTTCCATGGCCTGTCCCAAGACCTGGCCTCTCAGTCCCAACAGTCTGTGCTCCATGGTCCCCAGGGCTCCTTCCAGGTACTCTTTGCTGAGACTTGGCTCTATAGTTTTAACAGGCATTTGAGGCTATCCCCAGGTGCTGGGGGCGGGGAGGGGGCTTCTCTGTGATCCAAGCCCCAGACAGGTGGCTTTGACAGGTCCTGAAATGTCTTTTGTTGTTGTTAAATGCCGTTGAGTCATTTCCAACTCTTAACTACCCTCTATAGGGTTTCTGAAGAGCAGCTTATGGATTTGAACCATTAACCTTGTGGTTAGCAGTTCGGTGTTTATCCTACAGCACAATACCAGAACTGTAGCTACTATTATGTTTATGGGGACCCTAGGTGGAGCAAATGGTTACACACTCATCTACTTGTCAAACCCATCCAGAGGTGTCTCAGATGAAAGAATCTGGTGGTCTGCTCCAGAAAGGTCACAGTCTAGAAAACCTTGTAGAACTTAGTTCTGCTCTTGCGCACATGGAGCCACCATGACTCGGCACTGACTCCCCGGCAACTCACAATAATTCTTAATATTACTAGGTTTGTGCAGTTTCTGTTGGATCTTACTTGGTGGATAGATAGTTCCATGTCCTTGCTCTGCTGTTGCAGCGTCAACTATTCTTCAATTCCTCTGGGATTCTCATTGTCACTGCATTCTGTTTTTGGTGGGAAGGGGAAGCAGAGAAGATGCACGGGGTCAGAAAAGCCCGACGCCCTATTCCTAAGTGAACGGCCAGCGCTGTGGACTCCTCAGTCAGGGAAGGCAATGAGCCGGGGAGATTGGTGATCTCAGGATCAGAAAGCACGAGCCATGAGTGGCATCACTTCTTTTTTCTAATCTGACAAAGGCCACGGTACCAGACCCAAACCAAACCTACTGCCATCAGGTCAACTCTGACTCATAGCGACCCCATAGGACTGCTTCTTGAGGTCTCTGACTTGTGGGTCTTTACGGGACGTTGTCGGCAGTTTCATCTTTCGAACCATTGCCCTTGTTCTTAGCAGCTCAGCACCACCAGGCTCCTGGAATGCCACAGTAAATAGCTGTTATTTGCATCCCTGATACTTGAGTTTCATGTTATGATGTGATTGGGTCCTGGTGAAACCCCTTTGTTCAGTTTCCTGTGCGTGTGTGTGTGTGTGTGTGTGTATGTGTGGCAAGGGTGGGATCATAGGAGGTGGGTCGGGGCTATAGACAGAGGGGTGACAGGGGTGTAGGGACTGAGTGTATCCTTCCCATGAGCAGCCATGACCAGTCCTTCATGTCCCTGGGGCTGGCTAGGGCCACTGTCATCCAGGCCACAGAGGGAGGAGGGAGTCCCGCCCCAGCCATGCCAGACCTCTGCCCTCTGGCCTCCAGTCTGTCTGTCTGCCACCAGCCTCATCCTCCTAGTCAGCAGAAGCCTGTCCCATGCACCTCTCTGCTCAGGTGCCCTCACCTGAGGGGCAGAAGGACGGGTCCCACCAGCTTAGGTGACAGGATGTGTGCTTGACCTGACTGTACGTGCTCCCTCGGCCATCACCCCACATGAACAGGCCTGGCACTCAGAGAGGGTGCTCCAGAGTTGGTCTGAGAACCCAACTCCACCTTTGACAGAGTTGGGATCTAAGCTGTCTGGCAGCCACCATGAGACTCAGTCTGTGTGAAGCAGGAGGCCCAGTGCTGGGTCACACAGGGCTGTAGTACCCCACCCCCAGCAGTTGCCCAAGCACCCTCAGGTGTCCCCCTACCTGGATGCCAAACTGCCATCAATCTCAAAGCCTCTAAGTGTAGAGGAGTTTCTGAAATGCCTGGTTTCAGAAATAATGGACTCTGTGTGGTTCTGATCCTGTCATTCAGGCAGGGCCCCCACTTAGGTTCCCTCCCAGGGACTCAGGGCAGCCCCCCTGGTGCTGGAATCTGGGGGCTGTGCCTGGATTTTCCTGAGGAAGGTGGCTGCCGCATGTCACTGTACTATCTCCACAGATGACTCCGGGGACGACGACGACGAAGCTACCTCCCCATCAGACAAGAGTGAGCTGCACCACACCATTAAGAACCTCTCCTTGAAGTTAGACGACCTGAGCACCTGCAATGACCTCATCGCCAAGCACGGCGCTGCCCTCCAGCGCTCTCTGAACGAGCTGGACAGCCTCAAAATTCCGTCCGAGAGCAGCGAGAAGGTGAAAGTAGTGAACGAGCGGGCCACACTTTTCCGCATCACGTCAAATGCTATGATCAACGTAAGTGCCCCCCAAGATCTACTCCCCACAGAAAAGTAGCCTCCTGTAATCTGTAGGAGTCTGTGTACCTCAACATGGTCCATGTGGGGATGGCTGCCCTAAGAAAGGGCACAGCGGACAAACCTCAGCTGGATTGCTAACTGCAGGAATCCAGTTCCCAAAGTGCGAGGATGGGTCCAGTCCTCACCTCCCCATCCTCATCATCAGCCACTCATGGGCTCACTCATTAGAAAGACGCCTTCCTTAGGGCTGTCAAATTGGCAGGCTCCAACTGCCCCTATAGGGTCGTTAATTCTGGTATGACTCACAGAATTTATGGGAAACATACTATACTTATTGCAGGTTTATTACAATGAAAACGATATTAAAGAAGAGGCACATAGGGAGGGGTCACAGCAGGGAGCTTCCATGTCCTAAGGATGGACATGCCACCCTCTCCAGTGCATGGTCACCAACCAGAAAGCCCCATTAGAGCCTCGGGGCTCAGTGCTTTCATAGGCCTCACCACGTGACCATGATCATTGGCATCAGGCCTCCTGGTGGCCCCTCTTGGTCTGGTCACCCCCCAGCCTTAGCCTCAGGTGTTGGTACAATTTGAAAGAAAGATAACAAAAACCAAAATTGCTTTCTGCAAGGTGATTCCACACCTCACAATGGCTGGGGATTTGTGACTGAGTAACCAGGCTCCATTTCGATGGCTTCAGTCCACTTCCCAAAGCCACTCTCCATGTGCTCTGTCTGCTCTTTCAGTCATTGCTGGACAAGGACAGTCTTTTCTGTTGTCTGGTGGGAAGTGTGGTTGAGTGTGGAATCTGGGTAAGGCTTGCTGTGGCCTGTGCTGGGTGAGGAAGGCCAGGGTCCATGTTGAGCAGTCAGTCTGGCCAAGCGGTAAACTCACCACCTCTCTGGAAACAGTGGAGCTTCCAGAATCCACTGGAGGCTTGCTTGGTTTACAGCCTGGGACTACTCGTTTCTTCTGTCAGCACCCGCGGCAGACTCAGCTCTGAGGCTTTTCTAGCTAAGCAGGGGATAAGCCCCCTGTGGGGAGTATACCTAGAGAAGGAGCAGCAACAGTTATTATGGGCCAATGTGGAATAGCTGACCAGAGCTGGCCAGGTCAGCTGCAAGCTGGAGCCCACTACAGGCCAAGACCTGCCCATCCCTGCTTCCCCAGGCCTCACTGCTGGATGTCCACCTCTGCCCCCACCTGCTTCCCTGCCCTCACATCAGGCCTGGGGCTGCCTGGAGCGAGAGGAAGCCTCCAGAATTCCCACACTAGGTGGCTGGTGGAGTCCCAGCAGGACAAGGAGACATGGTGTGTTAACTTGTATGGTGGGATTCCCATGTTTCCTCTCTCCAGGACTATGAGACATACACAGAAAAAGACGTGAATGTGCCCAATATAGGTATGCAGTTGTTGGTTGTTAGTTGTCGTAGAATCAGCTCCACTTCAAGATGACCTCTGCACCCCAGACTAGCACACCACCTGATTCCGCACCATTTGTATGATTGTTGGTGTGCTCAAGGCCATTGTTGCGGTCCCTGGGTGTTGTGAGAACCTTTGGACCTAGGGGCCTCATTTTAATCACTGTATTGGGCCATATTTTCTCATGATCCGGAGGGTTTCCATGTCTAATTTTCGATCACCAGTTCTCTCTTCTTAATCTAGCTTAGTCTGGGAACTCTGCTGTAACCTATCCACCATGCAGACCCTGTTGGTACCAGAAATTTCCATGTCATAGCTTCCAGCATCAAAGTTACCACAGGCCACCACAGGACAAGTGATAGACAAGTGGTAGCAACAGCCCTCAATTAGTCAGATTTTCTTCTTCTTCAGATACAAACACGTGGTTTGGACTTGACTCTATTGGCTGAACATGGGTGTGGGAGGGGGTGTGCAGCCCCTTCTCTGAGTCTCCCTCTCTCTTCCACTCCCATCACACACTCCATCCCATCCTGCCTCCCACAGTCCAGTGAGACCTGACATTTGCAGGGCAGGGCTCTGGCTGCCAGCACAAAGAATCAAGATCATTTGCTTATTCAGTACTCATCCAGAGCTTTACCCTCCACATACCTGTGCCCTGGTGATGCGGGGTGAGAGGGCAGGCCCCTGCCCTCATGAACTTGGCCTTCAATGGGGAAAGTGAGCTAGATATAAAGGAATAGAAATGCCAAGTAGTGTCAAGTAGCAAGAAGGCTGGAGCGAGGTGGCTCTGTTGGCAAGCCTCTCCTAGAAGGTGGCAGTTTAGCTGACACCTATATGACCCACTCGCAAAACAGGACCCAGAAGCACCTGAGTGGGGCCACCCCAGGCACATTGGCTGACATGGGAGCCATTAGTCCCCATTGGGAGGTCCAAGGAGGCAGGGCCTACATGGACCAAAGTGCAGTGATGCCTGCAACACCCCCAGGACTGTCTCTCTCCCTCGTCTGGGCCCCAGTGAGGTGACCCCTGTTTGGGCCCTCAAGAAATGTGTCTCTCCAAACACACATCTTGCCACCTGCCACCCAGAGACACAGCAGGGGCTCTACAGGATCTGTGCCCATCTTTCCCAGTCCCTGAGACACCCAGGGGTGCACTCAGCCCCCCATATCATGGGTGCTGCCCTCATCCTGGGGCTGTGCTGACGTTTTTCTGTGTTCACCTGTTGGGCCCAGCGCCCTCCTCACAGCCCGTCAGCCTGGGTGTCTGGGTGCCTGTGTGTCTACCTGTGACACACACACTTTAAACATTTTCACAATTGATGTGCTCATGTTTCCCATGTATTTCCCAGAAGCCCCTGCTGCCCTGGCCTATAAATGTGATGCTGCCTGTCTTGAGTAAGCAATTTTGGCTTCTCCCAGGAAGTGAGATGATCTGCCGACTGTAGTCAAGTACAGCTTTATGAGGCATCAGAGGCTCATCTGTATTCACGAAGCCATAAAAAAGCCAACCAGCCAAATGCTTAATGAATTGTTTATGGTCACCCAAGTTCCCATGTTGACTACAATGTCTGTCTCCAGTTCAGCCATAAATGGAGAGTCTGACCTGGTGACAAGAGGGTGGCCCCCTGCCAGGCTCTGCCCCAACCTGTTTGGGTAAGCTTGGTACAAAAGCCTCTCCCAGATCCCCCACTGTAAAATGCCTGACAGTTCCTCCTCACCTGAAGACCCCAAGGCCGAGTCCTCACTGCATGCAGAGGGGCCTCTTGCCTGAGGGCCACAAGACACACATCCAACCCACCCACAGCCAGGATTCGGCACCTGCATCTGTTAGAGAATGAAGAGGTTGGACCTGGGAATTTGTAATGAACACAGGAAGCCCAGGTCTGCTAGTACAGCCAGCGGAAAGATGGGTTGCCACCTGAGGTGATGAGGGGAGATCCCCACAAGAGCTGCACCCCAAAAGCAAGACACAGAGGAAGGGGTCTTTTAGCTGAGATGTGGCCTCTGAATGCCCTGATGGGGTGCTGGAGACTCAGGGAAGGAAGGAAGTCCCCACCCTCAGAGGCACAACAGATTGTCAATTGCTCATATGCAAGTTCAGGGTGAAGCTAAAGAAAATTAAAACAAGTTCACAAGAGCCAAAATATGACCTTGAATATATTCCAACTGAATTTAGAGACCATCTCAAAAACAGACTTGATGCATTAGACACTAGTGACCAAAGACCAGAAGAGGTGTGGAATGACATCAAAAACATCACACGGGAAGGAAGCAAAAGGTCATTAAGACCATTAAGACCAAAAACAAAGTAGATGTCAGAAGCTTGCTCTAAAGCAGAAGGAAGAAATGAGATAAAAGGGCTGAACAGAAAATTTCAAAGGGCAGCTCGAGAAGACAAAATTGAGTATTAAAATGAAATGTGCAAAGACCTGGAGTTAAAAAACCAAAAGGAAAGAACATTGTGAAGCATTTCTCCAGCTAAACGAACTGAAGAAAAAAGTTCAACATTTAACTTGAAATATTGAAGGATTCTACAGGCAAAATATTGAATGATGCAGAAAGAATCAAAGGAAGATGGAATGAATATACAAAGTCACTGTTCCAAAAAGAAATGGTTGATGTTTTAACCATTTCAAGATATGACCAGAGCCAAGTGCACTGAAGGTTTTGACAAAGAACAAGCCTCCAGAAATTGATGGTATACAAATTGAAATCTTTCAACAAACTGATACAGTATTGGAAGCGCTCACAGTTACCTGGCCAACTGATTGGAAGAAATCCATACTTTTATCCATTCCAAAGAGAGGTGACCCAATGAAATGTGGAAATCATCGGACAGTATCAATAATATCACAAGCAAGTAAATTTTTGCTAAAGATAATTTTAAAAACAGTATATCGACAGGGAACTTCCAGAGATTCAAGCCAGATTTAGATGCGGACATGGAACAAGAGCTGTCATTGCTGAAGTAAGATGGCTTTTCATTGAAAGCAGAGAATGCCAGAAAGATGTTTACCTGTGCTTTATTGACTATGCAAAACCGTTTGACTGTGTGGATCATGACAAGTTATCAATAATGTTGAGAAGAACACTTGATTGTGCTTGTGGGGAACCTGCACATAGACCAAGAGGCAGTTCTAATAGAATAAGGGGACACAGAATGGTTTAAAACCAGGAAAGATGTGGACCAGGGTTGTATTCTTTTACCATATTTATTCATCCTGTATGCTGAGCAAATAATCCAAGAAGTTGTATTATATGAAGAAGAACGTAGCATCAGGATTAGAGGAAGACTCATTAACAACCTGAAATATGCAGATGATACAACTTCGCTTGCTGAAAGTGAAGAGGATTTTAAAATACTTACTGATGAAGATCAAAGACCACAGCCTTTAGGTTGCACCTTAATGTAAAGAAAACAAAAATCCTCACCACTGAACCAAAAAATAGTATCCATATAAATGGAGAAAAGATTGAAGTTATCAATGACTTCATTTTGCTTGGATCCACTATCAACACTCATGCATCCACCATCTACACTTACCAACACTCAAATAGCAGTCGAGAAATCAACT